GCATTAAGTACATCATTACCCTCTACAGGTATTTCTAGTTTACTTGTGAAAATCAGGGTATATTACATCACACATGTTGACAAAGCAATCAGGGGTAAATTTTTCATAATAGGATGCAATGGTCTTCATTATCAAGATTATTTGGTACCTAAATAGTAAAATGTTCGAGAGAAGAAATAATCGTAAACATTTTTTCTTTCCCACCAGCATCGACTTCCAAAAATAATGGATAATGACCACCTAAAACAAAGAAGAAATAAATCAAATTTGTGATTTCACAGGGCTACAATACGAAACAAGTATGCATATTTTTTATTTCCTACCACTTACAAGAGGCAGGAATGGCTGAAATGGCCTTCACGTGAACACAACAGAATCCTACGCGTGTACATATAACCATGTAGAACTATTTATTCGGTATAGAAATTACATCCCAAATGTCATGATATTTGACTGAAACTCAGCTTACCCATCTTTCGTTTAGACTTCGAAACTTGCTGCTTTTTACCACCGTTTCAATGTTTTCTTGTTGTTTAAAAGGTGGTAAGGCCATTGCAGACCGTGATTTTTTTTTACTTGAGAACCAGATCACAACACCCAAGCCTTTTCACGCTAAAATATTAAACTACTGAGATTTCCTTCGCCGCCGTAAGCCGCCATTTTATCTTTCCCTGAATGCTAGTTCCCAAGCTTCGAGCCCGAAGGTCTCACACATGCACTGAAATAATGCTATTCGTTATTTCAGGGCCATTTAAGAAGTCCGATAATCGTTATTTCGGTCTCGAGATCATGCTGGATTTGCTGCTGTTCAAAATCTTTGTCGTCCCAGGCTACTGGCCGTATGCTCGGCCACGGGTACACCCACATTCTTTACTTAAATAAATTACAAACTTTGAAAACTTCGTTGCACAGCGGTCCATCCCTCAACGATACGTATAATCTCTCATCATTGGGTCACCGAAAAGCCACAATGTCCGTAGTTTACGAGGAGACGTACTTTTGAACCGGGAGTGGTTAGAATTCGAAATATCTGGATAAGAGAAAAATACACATTTGGATGGGTAGCATCAATCATATAAATGAAAGGGATTTGGCCGTGACAAGCTCACTTTTTCTGGATCAAATGGAAATTTGAAGCTTTGGCTTTCCATTTTAGGGGCAATACGGGACAGTAAGTTTTAGATTAGGGACGAGCCAATATCAAACCAAAACCACGCGTTGCGCATGCGCTGCGTTCACCCGTGAGCTTTCGAGTTGAAGACTCGAAGAGACATACTATATTTGCGCGCGCCACATATATTTATTATTTTAGTTACCTATCATAATAATCGATAATTTTGTGTGTAAGCTGTGTAATTTTCTGAATTAGTTTAGGCCAGCCGAGCCTGTTCTCGTCATTAGGGACCTTAAGCGATCAGGACGGCAAAGCTGAGGAAGACTTCGATAAGGTTAAAATTTTGTGTTCACGGCCTCTTACAGCACCATAACTCAAATTCAGCAAAACGTGCGAGTAGTGTTGAGTTCCCGGAAACCCTGATTGGGTTTTTGTTCTTAGATGTGCGCGCTGATTCTGGTGATTTCGTGGTATTGTTTTGCACTCTTCACATTACATGTACATTTGAAAGACTTGTGTGAAGAAACAAAACCGGTTTTATTTCTTCACATTACATGTACATTTGAAAGACTTGTGTGAAGAAACAAAACCGGTTTTATTGACCCTTCGACACCTAGGAGTGACTAGCATCTGGAATGATGTTACATTTACCTGGTATTTTTATTGGGTGTTTTCCTTGAGAACGAGAAAAATCCGCTCTAAGTATCTACAGTGGGAGTAAAAACTCCTTGGGACATACTTATACCCAGATATATTTAAAATGACCACTTTTTGCCAATTCAGGCGAGCACACAGAACCTCCCCTCCCCCCTCTGACAATGTTCAGCATTGTTTGGGGGAGAAGGGGCGGGGGGATAGTTCTATATTAGTACTATCCCGTTGAGTGTTCCATGACTTTTAACCTGCATAGTACTTGATGGCTTATTTCTAGATCGTCGTAGAACCTTCGCCTTGGAAGCGAGAATTACCCAATACTTATTTTCATCTTTTCCTTGAAATAACTAAGAAGTAATTAGATCCTATCCTACCTCCGGCTGTAGATAACGGAATGTTGATCATAATAAGCTTTCCATCTTGAAAGCGTTGAAGAAGGTAATCATCTTGTTATTATTTATTATTATTATTTAGTTATTAGTACCATGATGATGCTCGGCTCTTTCCAAGCATGTCTTCTTTCTGTAATTTACCATGCGAACTCCCTGAGGAAAAACAATACTTTTAAAATAAGGGTTCTCTGCTTTGGAACTTCCTTTGAATGAAAGAGGCGGGTAGGATGGGAAACAACTGCGGTTACTGAACACAATGGTGAGATTCGATTTGTCGCGAGCCTGGTTTAAAGAAAACATTTGGGTCACCGCATGACAAATTTAATCTTGGACCTTTGGATTCTGCTATCTGATGCTCAACCGTTAGGCAAAAGAGAGCACAAAGGATTAAAAAGGTCTAAAGGTGCGATTCATCGAGGGAACTAAGTTTTTCATCGCCCCATCCTTGTCACAAGAAGAATAATATCTTTCATTATGCCTTAAACGAACGCAAAATTTACCATCTTTCATTTCTAAGAAATAAATAGTTATTAGTACCAACTATAAACCAATTTTTGGGGGCTTCTCGATATCCGTCACATAAGC